ATCGAGTGCGGTTGGCGTCTTATTTTAATTATTTTTAAATTCGTTCATAGTGGATATTATGAAATAAAATTGGTGTGGTTTTGTGTAACAACCGTCTGCGTAACTGAAGAATTAGTGTAATCGTTAAAATATACGCTATTCCGGTCAAGTGGACGTGAGAATTTTATTGTAGTGTTGACTACCTCACAGAAGCTTATTGAAAAAGCCAACTCGATATATTTCGTGCCAAACACTCCAAGAAACATTAGAATGCGTCACACCGACATTCTAATGTAAAAACAAAAAGAAGATTAATTTAATTAAAGACTAGGCTGTATGGGCATTGTTCCCCTTGCCTTCCCTAAAACGGGAAAACTTCAACAAAAAAAAAAGATCTTTGACAGTGACATTAACGCACTAAACTGTCATTCATCATGACAGTTGCCTGCCGTTAGTGTAGGGCTGCTACATCGTTAATTTTATACAAAACACAATCGGACTAGGGGTCATTTGCCTAACGAACTTGCTATGCCTATTGCTATCGCTTACAAATTTATTTTTTTATTGCTGACCACTGAAGGTTTTCAAATACCCCACGCTCACTTTTTTTAATATTGCTTTTGTAAATGCAAAAGAAAAAAGACGAACGCGAGGCATTTGAATATCTTCGGCGGTCAGAAATAACAAAATGAAATCGTAAGCGATATCGATGGCCATAGCAATCCCGTTAGGCGTTGGGCCCCCTGGTTTAGTTACTGATTCTATTATAAATTCGGTAAAATTAGATACAAAAACTGCCAATTTCTTAATTTCTGAAAGGAACTGTTATTAAATAATTAATAGGAACGCTACATAATTATTTATGTTATTCTTTTTCCAAAATACCTACACACATTCCTATCTTCCTTTGGGCTTTGTACACATCAAGTAACCACAAACTGTTCCATTTACTCGATAGATGGTTAGTCTTATAAATATCAAGTATTAAGATTAAAGCACTAAATCAGTAAGTGTTAGAGCATAAACAGCTCATGTATTTTGACGTGACAACGTCTTAAATTAGGTTGCGGCTGGGAGTCACTTATGAAAAAGTGTAACGCTCGGTAACGTTACGATGAGTCTCTCGTGTTAAGTTTAAGTTTACATGTACAATGTTTTAGTAAACAAAATATATTTCTATAGTTAAAATTTGTGCAATTCTTATTTTCATTCAATTCCTTGTTCCTATTGTGCAATTTAATTATATTCATATCAATAAATATTCTACCGAGAAAAAGACGTTGTCACGTAAAATCTTCGCCCGTAAAACCGACTTTACAGGCAACCATTTTTTAATAAAAAGAAGAACTGAGACCTGAACTGGGGAAGAACTATGTACAACTATGTATATTATTATTTTATTTGGAGTTATTGATACTAACAATATCAAACCTACATTATTTATTATTTTTAATTTAAATTGAATCGAAGAATGACCAATAATCATATTTTAAAAGATATAGATCTTTTAAATATGATTATTGGTCATTCTGCTAATTACTATCTGCTAATAAAAAAACCGATTTAAAAATATTTTTTTGATAGGTACCTAACCTACCTAGTTAGACGCCATTCATTTATTACGTGGGTCATGATTATAAGAAAAATAAGAATAGGCCGACCCCCTACCTGTTTGTTTTTTGTTTACTATTTATTACGTAAGAATCTAAAGGAAAAAGTGAATACACGTTTGTTTTGTTATAATATTTATAACATACTTATTTAGGTATCAGTATATGTAATTTATCCGTTACACTAGTATCCCATTACACAATCCTACAGTGCTTACTTTGGGGCTAGGCTAAATTGGTGTGTGTTGGAAATATTGATTGTTATTTGTATTTTTTTATTTTTCAAAGTTTTTTTTTATAATTTGCAATGTTGGAGGTGTTGTTCCGTTGCCATGGAAATGGAAATCGTTTACCTATACGCATCCGAGCGAACCTCGGCACTCACGTGGTTGTTCGTGCTTTTTCAAAGTAAAATTTTAACATTGCGCATTTTTGTGTTCTTACGTAAGAACTATCGAGACTCTCTCCTCCCCTCTCCCCCCTAAGTCGTCTTACGTAATAAATTAATGCTTGCTCAGTGCAAGTGTATGGCCCGTATTATAGAAAGATTCTCAGTGACTGATCTAGTCTTGAGCATGGGTAGAAAGGGATGTCGCTATATATAGCACATAGCGACATCCCTTTCTAACTGTACTCAAGTAAAGATCGACTTAGTTGTCATTCTGTAATACGGGCCTTAGGTAGGGCTGCCATCCGTCCGGGTTTCCCCGGATTTGTCCTAGTTTACAGGGTGTCCGGGGAGCGTCCGGGCGGGGTTTCATTTGTAGTCCGGGTTTATAAATTTTCTGTTTTTGATCGCCAATTGATCCGTCAATATGTCTTTGAAAATAAATAAATCTATTCTAACATTGTAACCGTAAATGCTGACTTCCTACAAAGATCAGTACCCCTAGCACGAACTTATATCGAATTCGTGACATTTCGGACTCGCAAACTATTCGAATTCGATAATTTTTACACTGGTCGGTCAAACATCCCTCGGATGGAAGGAGAAGGGTGTAAAGGCAGACTTGTGTCCGAGATTGAGATGTTACTGGATCAAGTCTCAAATTGGAGCCAACAAAATTTTATTGGATTAACCCAGCAAAGACACATGTGTGTGTGAAAAAGCTTGGGTGCTGAATATATATAGTAAGTTCCTCAAGCCTAAATATCGGGTGTTATTATACAAAATACTGGTCCTCTGGGCTGGAGCACCCCAATACCAGCTCCTTCCTCTTGACCGGATGCAAAAGCGGGCAGTTTGACTTATCGATGATCCTGAGCTCACTCACGCGTTGCAACCCCTTAACTACGCAGACGGTACAACACGTACAAGGAGTTGCGTCCTTGTGCTTATTGTTCCGTCTATACAATGGAGAGTATTCCGAGGAATTATTCAACCGGATGCCAGTGGCCAAGCTTCTTCACAGCATCACAGACCGCAGAGGCGCCTGGCGTTCGAGCACCATGTGTTCCTTTCTTTTGCGTACCAGCAAGATGAACGAACTTCCCTAGGTATTTTTTTCTTATAGCTATAATATGGTAATCTTAAAATGGCGGATAAACCTTTTCGTTCAGAGCCGGCAACGCATGATTGGCCCTTGGTGCTGCAAGTGTCCATGGGCAGCAGTAACGACTTATTATCATGTAGTTAGCTAGCTCTTTTGCCTACATCAACATAAAAAAAGTTGATTTGTGACATTTTTAACTGCTTTTTTATTGGTCTGTCCGGGTTTTTGGCTCCAACATCCGGGGTTATCACGCATCTTGTCCTGGTTACCACATTTTAGAGATGGCAGCCCTAGCCTTAGGGTACGGCCAGAGTGCACTCAGATTCAGATTCAGATTCCGAAAACATGCGCGAGAAATAAACAGTGTAGTCTAAGCAGGTTGCCTGCTTTTTCTCGCGCTTGTTTTCTGAGTCTGAATCTGAATCAGGAGTGCACTCTGGCCGTACCCTTCGACTACACTGTTTATTTCTCGCGCTTGTTTTCGGAATCTGAATCTGAATCTGAGTGCACTCTGGCCGCACCCTTACCCTAAGGGTACGGTATTTAAAGCAGGGTGGCCATAGCGGCCGCAGGCAACCTGCTTAAACTACACTGTATATTTCCCAACGCTTGTTTTCTGAGTCTGAATCTGAATCTGAATCTGAGTGCACTCTGGCCGTACCCTCAGACTGGTTGGACCGTATCAACGAGATTAATATTATAGGGTGTATTCCGTAATATATACCAGTATACTGGCCAGTGCTAATGACGTCATGAATCGACGAAATATTAAAAATAGTGCGAATAAAGATGTTTTTTTATTCACCTCATCAATTAAAAGGAATTCATTTTGTTCGGATGCCGTTATTGTTCTTTAAATAAAAAAAAATGGGTGCGTGTACTTATGTAGGCGCGTGAGAAGTTATCCTTCTTTGGCATCGTTTAAAATTAGTTTTTAATTGCATGCAAATAATTAATTACAATAAATTAATAAAAAGTCTGGAAAAGGACGAAGTCAATAAAGTTCAGTTTTAATTTGAAAAAATAAATAAATAATCAAAATATTCAATTAAAATCGCTACTGAATATAATTTATTAGAACATATGTGATTTGCACTTGTATGAAACTCAAACACGTATTCCGAATATACAAACCAGAAACATGTGGATAAATATTATAAATATGAATACCTATAACTGTTACTTTATTACAAAAAATAAAGATGTGGTTTTTGGTTCTACTACACCAATGGTCAAGAGATGGCGCTGTAGTCTCCTGAATCGCGCTTTGGTTCCGTTGTTCCAGATTAATAAATACTTTTTGTTACTTTATTACAAAAAATTAAGATGTGGTTTTTGGTTCTAATACACCAATGGTCAAGAGATGGCGCTGTAGTCTCCTGAATCGCGCTTTGGTTCCGTTGTTCCAGATTAATAAATACTTTTGATAGGCCTTCACAATGCAGTCGTTAGCACCCGCTAAATAGAGATTCTATTTCTATTTTGTTGGTAGATTTTCTTAATGTGCGGTAAGCACAAAAGTAACGCATGAAGTTGGTCGCTAAAGCGACCAACTTCATTATGTTGAAATTTTGTGTTACAGTGATGCGCGCGCATCTTAAAACTTCACTCTCATCATTTTTTCATAACGCGCCTAAAGAAGTATAACTTCAAAAAGAAATAAAATTTGAATGCTTCTCACGCACGCTCGGTCATACGTCATATTCGTTTTCCCGGTAAAAATATGGCAGCATACCAGTTTAATATAGGGTCGGATTCGTGACGTCATTACCACTGGCCAGTATACTGTTATATATATATTTCGGAATACACCCATAATAATCTGGCAGTGACAGCCCTGCATGAGTGTTCGGTCTAGTATCTCTAACTAGTCTGTGGGTCTCGGTCGGTTTCATTCATATGATTCATAAAGGTTTCAGTTTTCATTCATTCCAGCCATTCCTTCTTATCGTCTGCCCGTCGGCACGTATCGATACGAAAACAAATTTCTCTGGTTGGATGGGCGTAGCGTAGACTCGCGGAAAAAACTTGTACAATAATTCGAGTGTCATTCATTATTAATTTCAGTGCCGATCTACTATTTTGCATTAGATTTTGTTCGTTCAGTCGTGGTTAAGTGTTCTAATATTGCGGACTGAACATTTGTTATGCTATTTTATTTCTAACGGAGTTCCACATTAGACCAAATGGGTGCAAAAGTGTCTAGGACCGATTTCGAATGGTCTTACACGGAGGAGCCGCATGCTAGCCGCCGGAAAATCATCTTGGGTATGTAATTTATTACGTCATGTATAATATGCTGTTTTCAATGCGGCTTCGGTTGCCGGTATCTTGCTCGGAATAATTTTTCTATTATTCATTTCTACACAAGATCGATACAGTTAGCCATTTAGTGTTCTTAAGCAACTTTACAAAGTCTTATTTTTTAGTCATACACAGCCGTGGCTTGGTAACAAAAAGTTTTTAAAGTTGAGGTGTATCAATGTTCTGATTAATGGTATTCTAATGTAACTCGTTCTAAAATAAACTACGGATGGTATCGACTCGCGGTATATGTAAACACTCACGTGCTTGCTTTTAATGTTCCAAACTTAGTTATATAAATATAAAGTATAATATAAACTTCTATAGTGTTTTTATGACTTCCTGAACATTGTTATTTTCTAATTCTCCATAGTCTACGAAGTAGTGCCTATGTAGGAAATGGCTTATAGTGTCTTTATTAAATTTCCTGAGAAGTCTTACTTAAATGTCAAAGATTTGGATGATAGAGCATAAAAGGTGCAGCGTGAAAGTAACATTTTATATCCAACAGCTACATTTTGACAAGTCCACACAGCACTATCTGTACTAAGATTACTAAATGTAAGATTTAGCCACCAAATCTAGAGACTGGACCAAAGAATATTGAACAGCTTTATTTGACTGTCTATCTATACTTTTCGAATTCAAAGTTTCATAGGTTTTGTTTATCATTTAAAGTTAAAACATACTGTTTAAATATTTAATACACATCATTAACCACATCAGTGTGTGTTGCTGATATTTAGGCCTCCAACTCCTTCCGCTTAGATCTGTCTCTAGTCACTCTAAGCCAGAGGGTTTCTGCTATCATTCTTATATCATCTGTCCACTATTTGAGTGGCCTTCCGCATTTTCTTTTAGTGTTGAACCTTTGGGTCCATTCTGTGAAATTCCTTGTCCATTTCTCCCTAATTTTTCTTATTGTGTGGACAGACCTATCTGTACGGGAAATTCTATATTTTCTGTACATAATCCAGTATGGAATTCTTGTAGGGGTTACAAAATGTACACTTTGTGACATTAGATTTCTTAATTATATTTTAATGACAATAATTAATTTTGCCAGCTTATTCCAAATTTTCTCAATCTAATGCTTGTCTGAAAGATATTGCTTTGAGTGATAGGTATCTCTTAAGATTTAATTCCCCCGTAATCCATCATTTATCCTGTATATTGCTTAAAACGAATTATAGGTAAAAAAACTTCTTTTATAAATAAAATTACAGATCAGTAATAATTGTCTTTATACGGCTTAGCTCTTGCAGCTTTCCACTCGGGGCCATGGTCATTTGGCCATAGGATAAAATATGCCCCCGGGTTATTTGTACAGACTTATAAAAAAGAAATTGGTTGTTAGAGGTTTATTACAAATGCCTCTATAGATGGTTACTAGTCTAAGACCAACCCCCTTAATTATAAATGAAAAAACAATCCTATATTTCATATCTTAAATCTGATTTTTTCACTTCAGTCTCTAGGAATGTGTTCATGCAACACTGTAAGTGTTAAAAATTTCTTTAAAATTAATTTTAATAGCTGAATTGAGCTCTGCAAGTCAGCTGTTAATTGGTACCTACATTGGTTCTGAAGACTTCAGAGTCAATGTAACAATTTGAACATTTCACAACATTCATCATCAATCTTGTTGAATATTGTGACCAAATTAACTAGCTGTGTATTTTATTTATCAGCCTTAGATTATTCTTTATGTATTAATTGTAGGGATAGTAGCATAAAAATGATCTTACATTAAATAAACCAAACAGTTTCAAGTTTGCCGAAGAATATTTGTACTTTGAGATTTCTTAACTGGAATGGCCTTCATTGTTTTCTATTTACTGTTGTGACAACTTTGTTATTTGTTCTGCACTTACTAAGGTTAAATAACTATGAAATATTCATCTTTAACCATTTTAAATTGTCTATTTAACGGATCTGAACAGGTACTGTGTTATATGCATGCATGTTGCATATAGTCCAGTCAAATAAGCGAAATAAAGGTATCAATCTAGAAATGTTAGGTTACAAGTTGGAGTTTCGCCAAGCTCTTCCCTTTGACTTAAGAAGTAATGGGTCAAAAGTCATAATGGGTGGGGTAATGGTGGGTACCTGAGATATTCGATGGATGTCAAACGTAAACAAAAAAAAATCCCAAATATCAAGCTTCCTATTGCTCCTTCCACATTGGGATCCATATTCATATTCATTTATTGCATCTTGTTGTATACATAGGTGTTACAAGTATGGTTAGGTTGCAAACTAGAGTCCTGTAAAGGTGCGGCAAATTTATAGATTATTATTATAATTAAATATTTTATACAAAATTAAATCACATATCTTATTAATATTATTTATAAATTAATAGTTACATTTAAATACAAAAATATCTTTATAGTAGAGATAGGCCGACTAGCCGCCGACTAGTCGGGAAGGACGACTACTCGGCATCGTTTATAGTCGGCGATTAGTCGGTGACTATTTGGCAAAACATGCCGATTATAATCGGCACATAACAATGAAACAAAACTCAAAACTAATGTTTGTTTTGAATATTTAAACAGTACCTAGAGTATGTATTTAAAGTTACCTACAGTCTTAAAAAAAAACTTAAGAATCTGTCGAAGAAGCCCATAGGTAAAAAAAATTTTCCTTAGAGGAAAATTTATGCTGGAACATGAATATTTCGTCTCGTTTTGGGAGACTTGTGTTGTGCGTGAGCAAGCCAAGTAGTGTCGAAATATTCCGATCATCTTCCTAAGGGTACGGCCAGAGTGCACTCAGATTCAGATTCCGAAAACAAGCGCGAGAAATAAACAGTGTAGTCGAAGGGTACGGCCAGAGTGCACTCCTGATTCAGATTCAGATTCAGACTCAGAAAACAATGCGCGAGAAAAAGCAGGCAACCTGCTTAGACTACACTGTTTATTTCTCGCGCTTGTTTTCGGAATCTGAATCTGAATCTGAGTGCACTCTGGCCGCACCCTAAGATAGGTATTAGAATGATCGGCATTGCAGAATAGTCGGCCGGCTAGTCGGCAATTCAAAAACCGATTAGTCGGTTAGTCAGCAAATACTATAGTCGGCCCATCTCTACTTTATAGTTTACATTAATATTATGAAACTTTAATAGTCTTTAGTAGCTGAAGGACATATCCCCAAGAAGATACTTAATTTTGAGCATACGTTCAAATATTTTATGTTACTATGTCCTAAGCTAGTAAACCAATTCTTAACTGCATCATCATATTTTCAATTACATATTCAAAATAGAAGTCACGACTTAGTGTTCAATATTTTTGTTGCTATGCTATGAAGTGAAGTAGAAAGAAAATCTATAAAAGTCCACAATGGGAAGTGTACATGCATTCAAGGATGAGTCCAAGTATCCATACTATTTTCCATACAAAGAAGAACTGTCATTTATGACCCAGGACCTGACAGAAACGAAACATCTCGGTTTTTTTGATATTTTTTATGTAATGAAACTATATATTTTTACTAATGATTTTAACTAAATGACGAACAGTAGTTAATTTTGTAGAGAAATAGGCATTTTGTATTTTTAGTGTAAAACTTTAACATAAACATAAGGCAATATGTTGGTGTTAGCCAATCATATATAAAAAATATATCATTTGATTGTTTAAAATTACAAAACAACTGAGAAATGTCTCCTTTCTGTCTGGTGTCTGCGTTTTTTTTTCTATGAGATGTGACCATTCTCCTGTATCATTCGAAATACATCTCTTGTTTCCAACAAAAACAATGTAAAGTCTCATGGTTTTTGCTAAAAGGTTATGTATTTTTGTTTTTCGTTTTCACTATTATTTGTAAATAATATATATGATACAAGCATTGTGACTGCTACGGGCAATAATATTATTTTAATATTCTTGATTGCCGGCAGACAGGCTTACATATTAAGGAGTCCGTACATACTTGAAACCAAAGATTTAAGTCGTCGTGTAGCTTATAAATTGAATACGAATCTAACAATAGGGGTGATGACGGGGTACAGTAAACGAAATTCTATTTAGTCCGTCAGTTAGATGATCAAAAAATAATGGACACATATTTTTTCTTTGGGCAATCAATCAAAAAATTACAAAGTCATAACGCGTCAAAGTTTGGGAGTAGGGGCTCGTGACGTCACTTTAAGTGAAAATTGTACAAAAACGTGACGTCATGCGACTTTTCAAATCAATATATCTCTGCAATGTTTATATTATGTGAAAAAAGAAAAAATACGTGTCCAATACTTTTTGATAATCTACCTGATAAACGAAGAAAGAAAAATAGTCATCATCCCTATTAATTAAACTCATGGTTACTTCGTATTAGGTATAAAAAAGCGTGTGCCTCTCGGGAAGTGGTAACTTAAAAAAATCTAAGCGGCGATGTGGGTTAGAGTGACAGAGTAGGAGTATCTACATCAGAAAGTTATAGTTAAGTAGGTAATTGATCATTTTAGATATTAAATTACATGGAAAATTGCAACGGTGCGCGCCTCGAGCACGAGAGCGAGGGCGGCCGCACGCCGCTCATGAAGGCGTGCCGCGCCGGACACAATTTGTGCGGATCGCTTTTGTGAGGCTAGTGCCGTATCTACCCTTTTTTGTTTTAATCTAGGTGTAACAATACGATGACTCACTCTGACACAGACAGTTAACATAACGTAATGGCGATAGATTTTAATGTAATACATGTTTCGATAACTTTAACAGGATTTAGATAAGATTAACAAAAAAATCCGTAGGTATGTCTGAAATTTTCACAATGGCAATATCATTCATTCAGTTGTCACCCTGACTGATAAGGGCTTTTTAAAAATAAATAATGCCAATTCATTGCCAAATGGCCGTTAATCATATACTAACTTGCCGCCGCGAATTTGTTCCGTTTTGGTGAACTTTTAGTCATCATCATCAGCCTATTAATATCCCCACTGCTGGGGCACAGGCCTT